TGTAACGTTAATTCTCTCCGTACAAAGATTTTACAGATGATATTTCCGCACAAGTCAAATACAGCCTATGGACATTTCCTCTCCCCACTGTGAATAACTAGAACAGAAATTTAAGCCCTTAAAGGCAAAATCAAATGGTCATACATTTCTTAGGAAACAGAGGAACTTCATACTGAACCCTCGCCAATTCTTCCTATATTCCTGTCTGTTCCACTTCTCACAGAGCATCACAGGCATGGTAGAGTGAAGCTGGTGAATGCTGGGAGTTATTTGCTTCCTAATGTAAGTGATTTGCCAGATGGAACATGGTGTCTTCCAAGCATGGGCTGAGCAACAAATGAGGTGAGCTAAGAGTCGACTGCCGCATTCTGAGCATGTAAGGAAAGACAATGGTGGAGGTTTAGGGTGCACAATTGCTAAGAACGCACATGCGCAACAGCTATCATATGCTGAGAACTTGATGCATATTATCTCATTCCATTCTCACAGCCTCAGCGTAGAAGGGCTCAGGAAACAGTGAGTCCTACTGCTCCAGTTCAGGTACCTCATTTAGACTAATGACCAAGGGGCAGCAGGGGTGCTTACACCAGCCCCAGGACTGCTCTCCAGAAATGCAGGCTAGAAAGGCTGGCTCTCCAGGGCTGCTTTCCGCCTGCACAGGTTAAAAATGGGGCTTGCAGCCAGTCGCAGTGGCTCATACCTGTAATCCCAGCACTTTAGGAGGCCAAGACAGGCAAATCACCTGAGATCAGGAGTTCGAGACCAGCCTGACCAACATGGAGAAACCCCGTCTCTACAAAAAATACACAATTATCCGGGCATGGTGGTGCATGCCTGTAATCCCAGCTACTTGGAAGGCTGTAGCAGGAGAATTGCTTGAACCCAGGAGACAGAGGTTACGGTGAGCCGAGATCACGCCATTGCACTCCAGACTGAACAAGAGCGAAACTTGGTCTCAAAAAAAAAAAAAAAAGAGGGGGGCTTGCACTGCTCCAAGCCTCCTGCAGGAGGTGCACCAACAGCAAAACCCTGGCATCTGCATTTTCGACTAAGCTCAGCAGGCAAGTCTTGGGCACTAGGAAGTTTGAGACCCATTTTCCTAAACATTATTCATATCAATAAATGTCAAATACTGCAAGGATGCTTCTTTTCTAGAAAAGCAGAACCTTAGTAGCAACCCACAAGCAATCCCCTAGCTTCCTGGGACCTGCTACTGTGACTAACACTTCTTTCAGTCAAAGATACATTAGAGATAGAGAGATACAGACAGAGACAGATTTTTTTTTCCCCACTTGAAACTGATCAAGAGACAAAAGTTAACCAACAAACTTCAGGACGTGTCTGAAAGCCCCGAACTCCACGTAGCTTGCTCCCAGGGACCCCTCCCTACATTTTCAGTGCTCGACAGGTGGCTATAAATATTCCACTTAAATGGTCAACATAAGCCCAAACAAGTGCTTAAGCCTTTCCTTTTCATCTGCCTTCTGATATTCTTATAATTTCTACAGACGAAAGAAAAGAAAAGAAAAGAAAAGAAAAGAAAAGAAAAGAAAAGAAAAGAAAAGAAAAGAAAAGAAAAGAAAAGAAAGAAAGAGAAAAGCAGCAGGTCTTCTTTCCCAGAGAGCCAGCCATAGGGTTTTTATAGCAAGGAAAGGATTGAATTCTCTGGAAAAGTAAACAGAACATTCCTTCTTTTCAAGTACATGGCTGCCTTCTAGCAATGCCAAGGGAACATGAAATTTAGGGAGAGGCAGCCTCTCAAATGGCCACTGCAAAGAAAAATTCAAAGTTATATTAAAAACTGTCTTTCAAAGTCATTTACATTTTTGATTTCCGTAAATCTTAACTTTTTTAGTTTAAAAATGGGATTACTGCTTTCTAATTCATTGCAAAAGCAAATCAAGGTAATTTTTAACAAATCAAGAAGCTGCAAAGGAGAAGGAGGAGGAGGAGGAGACGCACATTTTCAGAATTCCTGCCAAGGAAGACGCTGGGCTGGACATGCCACAGACAGGAATTTCCCCAAACTCACAGGGTCCACAGGGTCAGGGGAGAAACGTCATCCTCTGGATGAGAAAAGCGAGGCTCAGCGTCTTCATTTGGGCTCCCCTAAAAGCAGAATCTGAGCCAAGGACTTGGATACAGAGGTTTATTTGGAAGGTACCCCAAGATGCCCAAGGGAGAGGGTGGGGACAGTGAGGCAGGAAGGGCAGGAAGCCCATAGGAGGTGTGAAAGCGAGGCTGCTGCATGCTGCTGGGGCTCACTCCAGGGCCCCTCTGCAGAGCCATGTGGACTGCACCTCAGAACCATTTCCACCAAGGAAAAGAGGCTGGGGTAGCAGCCACCAAAGCCCAGAACCCCCTCGGTGAGTCGAAAAACCCATACAGGCAGCCCCAGGACCTGAACCCAGGTCTGACTCAAAACCTGGATGCCTGTCACTATGCCACCTCTCAGAGATTCCGCAAACACAGGCTTCTCTTGTCATTGAGATGCTGCATATGAATGAGAAACCTGATCTTTTTCACTTTGATCTTTCAATTACTCACCTATCCACCCTTATTTTCTTCTCCCCTCGACCTTCAAAATGGAAGACTTCCTTCTGAGATGTGGGCCCACAGGCATTTATTTAACTTCCTTCACAAGCAACACAACTACCTCAACAAGAAAAAGAAAATACCTTTGCAGCATTCGGGGATGGAGTCTGCTGGGGCTGTTTTTCCAGCACAATCAACATCGCAATGGAAGAGCCACCTGGAGCTTAGGAGAGGGGAGGGATGGGAAAGCCCAGGGCAGAGGTGGGCGGGGCACTGCCTAGGAGACTCATACCCCACAGAGCAGTCTTGCCAGGAAACCAGGAAAGGGTTAGGCGAAGAACCTGCAAAGTTCCATCAGGAGGACCTGATGTGAGCAAGCACCATGCCTGCCTGGCTAAGCTCTCTGTTCACATAGACATAGGTTATAAAGGATGAGACAGTCCGAATGGCTAAGACGAGTAACAGGATAGCTGTTTAAACTGATCCAGGACTGACTCTTTATTCTGTTTCCTTAAAAAAAAAAAGTGGCTTAACTCACCTGGTTGATCCTTACTGTTTAAAAAAAAATTAAAAGAAAAACAGCCCAGCATGGTGGCTCACACCTGTAATCCCAGCACTTTGGCAGGCTGAGGTGAGTGGATTGCTTGAGGATGGGAATTCAAGACCAGCCTGGCCAACATGGTGAAACCCCATCTCTACTAAAAATACAAAAATTAGCCAGGTGTAGTGATGTGTTCCTGTGGTCCCAGCTACTTGAAAGGCTGAGGCAGGGGAATCACTTGGAACTGGGAGGTGGAGGTTGCAGTGAGCCATGATCGCGCCACTGCACTCCAGCCTGGGTGACAGTGAGACTCTGTCTCCAAAAAAAAAGTAAATGTGCCCCTTTCTCTGCTTTCTATAGGAATTCATTCTCTCAAGTACCAAAAGTATTATAGCCTTGGTGGTAGTTTCTTATTATGATAAAATACATAGAGACATAACACAGGTAGTGAATGTATCCCTCAAGAGTAATGAATCCAACAAACGGACACATGCATGTATTATGTGGAATACTCAGGCCCATAACAGCAGCCCAGGGTAGCTGAATGATGGCCCTAATATACCCAAGTTGTTAATAAGTTCCATCATAATTTTTGTTTTATGACATTCACTTTTATATGCCAATAGTCCATTTAATGGCATTTTAAATTAGAGGAGAGCCCCAAGAGAAGAGGAGAAAGCACGAGATACCTTATTGAATCACAAATCTTCCCATCTGATTTTTTAATTCCAAAAACGACCTAATAAACTTCCTTTATAATTAAATCAATCCTAACAACTTCTCTTTGGTGTTTTTCATTCATTTTTGGTAACCACGCAGAGATTCCAACTAGAAATCCATTATCATCGTAATTAAGTATAAAAATTGCACTGTGCTCTCCCAGGAAAAAGACCCCACACTCGGTCTCCTGTGGAGCTTGACCCAGGCTCTCCAGAGGTATAAAGAGAAACTACCAGTTTTCAGTACCGGCCGGAGCCCCTAATGTATTTGATTCAGTGCATGAAATACACATGAATGATAAGCTCAGAAATTCAGACCTTCAAATGATTTTCTCATACGGAAGTCTTACCACGAGAAAAATATATTGGCACACAGTTTTTCACTTCTAGGCCTTGACAAAGCTTTAAAATTCATGACCCAAATTAAAAGTTTTCCGTTTACTGGCCAGGTACGGTGGCTTATGCCTGTAATCCCAGCACTCTGGGAGGCCGAGGCAAGTGTATCACCTGAGGTCAGGAGTTTGAGACCAGTCTGGGCAACCTGGTGAAACCCCAAGTCTACTAAAAACACAAAAATTAGCCAGGCATGGTGGTACACGCCTGTAATCTCAGCTACTCAGGAGGCCGAGGCACGAGAATGGCTTGAACTGGGAGACGGAGGTTGCACTGCGCCTAGATCACGCCATTGCACACAGCCTGGGTGACAGAGTGAGACTCTGTCTAAAAATAAATAAATACATAAATTTTTAAAAAGACAGTTTGCTGTTTACTAAGAAAGCAGTACTTAACCAAAGATAGAAGGGACCGAAATGCATGGGCTGTTCTCAGAGCCAACAGATTACTGCCTTGGATTCAACCAAAGGAGAAAAATTCAACTTTGGCATTTATGCAGGCTTTTATCTGCCTTCAAGCACAGAGCAACTATGAGACCAAACATTGTGGGTGATTTTTAAAGAGTCCGTGATTTTTTTTAAATGTTGTTTTGTGCAAAAATAATTATTTTCTGTTTTCATGAAAGCACTGTAATTACTAAAATGCATAAAATTTTGATAAAATCTACTCCAGTTGGCATCTGCGTTCTTCTAATAAATTAGAAGACATTCTTTGAAGAGCTTAAATAATCTGAGTTTGCAAGCAAAATTACAGCCTAAAAATATTGGCTGTTGATACCAGCAGTTAAGAAGGAAGACAGAACAAAGCCTTACCATTGGCTGAATTCTTTTTAAAGTTATCCAAGAATTCCTCCAGCAGTTGGGACTGGTTAGGAGGGGGCAGCAGACTCTTCTGGTCCCTGGAGAACAAGTCACTGTCTGACCAGGATGCACAGAGGGTTGCTTTTGTGTCCGGAGGCCGGGCAATCAGAGTGAGTCCAACGCTCTTCTCAGAAAACAGGGCCTCCATCTGCTTAAGGTCAAGATCAGACACAGCTTCCCCATTTAAGGTCATGATCTCATTGCCCTTCCTCAGCCCTGAGAAAAAGGAAGAGGAAACAGAAAAAAGAGAGAGGGATTACTGAGAGAAATATTTTAAGATGAAAGAAGGCGGCAAATTCAAACCAGGTACTCTTAGGGACTGTTTTGTTTGTTGCTCTCTTCAAAGGAAGTACCAGCCCTGCACAGTGGCAGGAGCCCATAGTCTCTGCTAATCAGGAGACAGATATGGGAAGATCACTTGACCCAGGAGTTTGAGACCAGCCTGGGGTAATACAGTGAGACTTCATCTTTTACATTAGAAAAACAAAAAAGAATTAAAGGGCCAAAATGTATAGTATTTAGATGCCACTAAGAGCAAAAGCAATGTTCATTCTCTCACAGTTACTATTAGAATAAATCGTTTGAAAGAGAAGCAACTTGAGAGATTGTGTTTTCTAGCATGCTGATGTTAAATCTGTTCCATCCATGTCTGCCTGTCTGTCTCACACTCTCTTTCTTCTTCCCTCTGTCTGTCTTCATACACGTATACACTTTCTCTCTTTTAAACACACACACAAATGCTCTCTCTATATACAGGCATATGCATTTTCTGTCTTTTGTCTCTCTCTATCCTTTTTTTATGAAGGCAGGAGTCTCACTGTATCTCCCAGGCTGGTTTTGGACTCCCGGGCTCAAGCAGTCCTTCTATCCTCCTGCCTCAGCCTCCTGAGCAGCTGGGTTTATGGGAGTGAGCTGCTGCGTTTGGTCACATTTCCAATTAAACTCTTACATTTACTTTCTTTAAAGTTCCAGGAGAAACCTTTTCCTGATCAAACTCGAAGAAGAAACATTCACTAGCCAGACCACATTTTCCAAAGTTTCAAATGAAGAGGGAACAGAGGCACAGGGTGCCACACGAACCTTCCCCATACGCCAGGCCATCGGGGAGGACGTCGCTTACAAATATCCGGCTGAGATGCTGATGCTCATCCACCTGCGCCATAACTGCAAACCCTGGGAATGAAAAGAAAAGGAAAAAACAAGTCTCAACCCATGACACTCAATTTCCCCAACCACATCAGCAGTATTTCCTTGAACACCTTTTCTGGTAAGGACAGTATGTTGAGAAAGTCTAAATTACAACTATTTTGAAAGGACAAAAATATCTTGCAGGGGCAGAACAAGAAAAATGGCAGACCAGAGGTTTAAGAAATAAAAGGACATAACGTTTATTTAAAAGGTGAGGCCATGAACCCACATTTAACAGCATTATTCACAATAGTCGAGAGGCAGAAATAACCCAGTTGTCTGTCAATGGACAGATGGATAAGCGAGATGTGATCTATGCGTACGGGGAAATATCATCCAGTCTTAAAAAGGAAAAACATCCTGATTTATGCTACAATTTGGGTGAACTTTGAGGAGAATATGCTAAGTCAAATAACCCAGACACAAATGGCCAACACAGTACGATAGTATTTATATGAGTAGCTAGGGCAGTCAAATTCGGAGAGGTAGAAAGCATTAACAGAACGGGGGCGCCCAGGGCTGGGGGAAGGACAGTATGAGGAGTCGGTGTTTAATGGGTAACGAGTTCAGTTTTACAAGGTGAAAAGATTTCTAGCAATAGATGATGGGGATGGTAGCACAACACTGTGAATGTACTTAATGCCACAAAACTGTATATGTAAAAGCGGTTAAGACGATAAACTTTATGTTATGTGTCTATTATCACAATTAAAAATTTAGAGGCTGGGCATGGTGGCTCATGCCTGTAGTCCCGACACTTTGGCAGGCCAAGGTGGGTAGATCACGAGGTTCAGGAGCTCAAGACCAGCCTGACCAACATGGTGGAGTCCCTCCCTACTAAAAATATAAAAATTAGCTGGGTGTGGTGGTGGGTGCCTGTAATTCCAGCTACTCAGGAGGCTGAGGCAGGAGAATCGCTTGAACCTAGGAGGTGGAGGTTGTAGCGAGCTGAGATTGCACCATTGTACTCCTGCCTAGGCAACAGAGCAACACTCTGTCTCAAAAAAAAAAAAAAAATTAGGAACAAATTTAACAGCAAAAAATACTTTTACTGAACTATATGAAATTCAGTTCAATACAAGAAATAAGCGTTGAGAAACAGCTATGTTTGGGGTCAAGCATTTTAAGAAGGTGAAAAAATGCCTGGATGAATACAGTGCTTGCCCTAAATACGTAAGACCACAAGCAAATCCTAGGGGGACCTTCCCTCTTCTGAATGCAACATTCCTGAACTCAGTGTCCTCCTCTGTGATGCCACGGTGAGGAACACACGTTTCCATGCCTTGGTCCCCTAATACAGAGAGTTCCTTAAGGACAGCAAGAATGTCCTGTTCCCCAGGTCTCCTCCGTGCCCCCAGCAGAGCCTGGCAGATTATGGTCTCAGCAGAGAGTATCTTTGCAGGGGTCTTCATTCAGTCATTCCAATACAAAGATGAACACAAATGGCAATCACAAAAAGCACAGTGCAGGCCAAAAGGAGGAGAAAAAAGGTCACGAGGGCCTCAAAGGAAAAACCAACATAACATGGGGGCCAGGCACGGTGGCTCACGCCTGTAATCCCAGCACTTTGGGAGGCCGATGTGGGCAGATCACTTGAGTCCGGGAGTTCAAGAGTAGCCTGGCCAACATGGTGAAACCTGTCTCTATTAAAAACACAAAAATTAGCCAGACATAGTGGCAGGCACCTGTAATCCCAGCTACTTGGGAGGCTGAGGCAGGGAGAATTGCTTGAACCCAGGAGGCAGAGGTTGCAGTGAGCCGAGATTGCACCACTGCACTCCAGCCTGGGTGACAGAGCAGCACTCTGCCTCAAAAACGATAAAAATAAAAATAAACATGGGGGCCAGAAAAGATTATACAAATTTTTTTAAAATGAAGGCAGCCTGAAAAGGACATTTTAACATATTATAAACATTTATTATCAGTTTGAATCATTTCAAGGAGAATAATCACGTTGTATCAATATATTTAACAAGGTATAAAGTAGTGTTTCTATGGAGGCATTTACCAATCATTATTAATCAAAGAGAAATGTAGGAAATGATGCTGCGAAGTGACCTTGGATGCACTGACCCGTAACGGTTAAACTCAGGGAAGAAAGAAACAAGTAAAGCTAAAGCAATCAGAGATGGCTTCTTCAAGAAAGTCAGACCTTGAGTTAGTTCTTGAAGGACAGTAGGATTCATGTCATCAGAGAGGAGGGATGGGGGAAGAAAGAAGGGGAGCATTACAGGTGGGATGAGCAAACTAAGAGCAAAGACACTAGAGATGAAAGCAACTGTCATCTGAATCAGGAGTTGATCTTAGAGCAGCATCAGCTCACAGGACATTCGATGTGTTATTATATCTATACTCTCAAATCCCATCAATTTTATATTCACTCCATTTCATTACTTGGCATTTCCCTGTAATACTGATATCAATCTGTGTAGCCTGCTGATATCAATAAACAGAAATGAAGGCAGAGAAAGGAAGTTCAGAAACTATTGTCATACGTGCAGAAAATGTGAATATAAGGGGAAAAAAAAATTAAATTCAAAGATACTGGGGCAAACTAGACAAGGACGAACAACATGACTCCCAGGCAAGGGCACTCCTAACACTTACCAAAGTCAGACACACTCCCAGTCTTCGTGAGCTGCACATCATAAACATTCAGTGGAAAGACTTCTATTTCATCATAAACCTACAGAAGGCGAGAACAGCAACATCAGAGGATTTCATGTTATGATACCTTGAAAAGTTACTTTGACACTAGTTTTCATAATAAAACGAGAAAGCTGTTAAGATACTCTTTCTATAGAGACTGTTTCCAAACTACATGCCAAATTAAATAGAATTTTCCCCAAAAATGACATTTTTCAAAATCAAAAGTCCATGGATATGATTCGATTTTCCTTCTGAAAGCTAACGCACACTTACCTGTTCTTGCATATATTCATAGGGGGCAGGGATGCAGCACTCAACATTGTCATCCACTAATTTTCGAAGTTGCAGGCAGTAATGGCTGGGTTCCAACTGCCTCATCTATTAAAGAAAAGTTATTCAGATTTTAAATGCTCTTTCTAAATCCATCATTAGTTAGCAGGCTCATTAAAAATCAAAGTAGAAATCTCCAAAAGAAAACTGCATATAGTTTGCTGAATTTAAACCTATAGAAGAGCTCAAACTTAAATACTCATATGCAGGCCGGGCGCGGTGGCTCATGCCTGTAATCCCAGCACTTTGGGAAGCCAAGGCAGGTGGATCACTTGAGGTCAGGAGTTTGAGACCAGGCTAGCCAATATAGCAAAGCATCAACTACAGTAAAAATACAAAAATTAGCCGGGCATGGTGGCACACACCTGTAATCTCAGCTACTTGGAAGGCTGAGGCAGGAGAATTGCTTGAACCCAGGAGGCAGAGGTTACAGTGAGCTGAGATCACACCACTGCACTCCAGCCTGGGCAACAGAGCAAGACTCCGTCTCAAATAAATAAATAGAGAATTTACTTGTATGCAAAAAAGTAAAGGGGGACTATTTTTCAGAAGGTTTTCTCTGAATGACATTGCTTATCATTAAAGGCAAGAGATGCATTTTTAAGAGATAACAGTAGAACATATCTGATAGCAGAATCAATCTTACCAGCTCAGCAAATGTCATCTCTTTAGTTAGGTTGAACCTGACCTTGTTTCTCATTACCAAAGTACAGAAATTTGTAAAATGTGAAAAAATCCACAGACTTCAGAATTAAGAATGTCCTACTCCAAAAACTTTTCAAAGAAACAAAATGTGTACAGACACATTCATCTTTTCTCTCTCTTTCTCTCTTACGCACATTTTCAATACTGAGAAATTTATCTCAGGCCTATGCTCTTACTGGGTCAAATTGACCCACTACTTCTCATCCCCTCTATCATCTAGAAAATTATCCCTTAATAGATGATGGCATTGGTATAGAATTGTTGGTTTTCTGAATAAAAATGTTATATATAGGAGCAAAAAGAAATTAAGTTCATAAGGATGTAAACTACATGTCAATGTCCAGCATCCTAATGTTTCAAGTCAAAGTGAAAAAAGGGAACTAAGATTAAACATTTTTCACATTTATTAAGTGCATATTTATTAAGCATTACCAAACTATATGCCTTTTTCACCATTTCAACATATTTGATTGTATTTTCTCTGGCAACTCAAAGTATTTAAGCTCTACTGCACCACCTGGTGGTCTAAAAGCTTCTGATCTGATATTGCTGAGTATCTTCTCTCTGAGAGGGTTCTTTAAGACTTAACATAAACTTCCTTTTCAAATCCGGAATGAAACCCAGTTTGAAAAATGAATAAAACATCATCTTATATTAATCTCCATGAAGCAACTGTGAATTATATCAAGTTTTGCATTTAATCTAGAGAAATCTGGTAAAACTATTTAGGATTAAACTAACTCAAAGTCTATGCCACCTTCTTATAAAACACCATCTCTAAGTAACTTAAATAGCAACGAATTTCACAATTATTCTAGATATAAAAGTATACACAGTTCGGATTATCTCAGGTTCTTCATTGAGGTGTGACCTAATAACTCATTCTTCAAAAGAGATCAAGGAACAGAATGCTAATTCATCAATATGCTAATAAAAACATTAATTAATGAATATGCTGTGGGGAGGCTGAGGTGAGTGGACCACAAGGTCAGGAGATTGAGACCATCCTGGCCACGGTAAAATCCCGTCTCTACTAAAATATAAAAAATTAGCCAAGTGTAGTGGTACGCACCTATAGTCCCACTACTCAGGCGGCTGAGGCAGGGGAACTGCTTGAACCTGAGAGATGGAAGTTGCAGTGAGCCAAGATCGTGCCACTGCAACCCAGCCTGGTGACAGAGCAAGACTCCATCTCAAAAATAAAATAAATAAATAAAAGATAAATAGATTTGCTAATGTTCCCCGGCGTGGAAAGTGGGCCCTGGAATACCACACGAATTTAGAAGGCATAAGATTGCAACATTAATGATTATTTCTATTCAGAAGTATATTTCTGCAGAAAAATCCCTTACCTTGCATGCCAGAGTCAAAATATCTTCTACTTTGTGCTCTGGCTTGATCCCCACAGTAACTCCGTGATTATCCTGAAAGTGAACGTAGGTCTGGAGTTCCCATGCGTTGTCTCGGGGAACACCGTCTACTGTTGAACCGTATATATGCAGAAGTTCGTCCACCTGTTTGTAGACGCCAAAAGAAAATGCAGACAAATTTGATTAACAAATGAAGGAAACCACTGGAAAAAATGTCCTGTTCCTTTATGGAGTATTTAGAGTAAACGCTCACACTCCTCACATCACCGGCTTCTCACAACCCTCTGAGGCCAACAACGCTTCCTCACTCATTTTCTGCGGATGAAACGGCAGTCAAGGGAAGCGGAGTGAAAGTCAGTGACTCTCTGCCCTGTGTTCTTTCCACTGGGTCAACTGGCTGCCTATGCCAAGTTAGAACACCATAATCTGGCCAGGAACGGTGGCTCACGCCTGTAATCCCAGCACTTTGGGAGACTGTGGAGGGCAGATTATCTCAGGTCAGGAGTTTGAGATCAGCCTGGCCAACATGGTGAAACCCCATCTCTACTAAAAATACAAAAATTAGCTGGGCATGGTGACGTGCCTCTGTAGTCCCAGCTACTTGGGAAGCTGAGGCAGGAGAACTGCTTGAACCCGGGAGGTGGGGGTTGCAGTGAGCCAAGATCACACTACTATACTCCAGCCTGGGCGACAGAGGAAGAGTCCATCTCAGAACAAACAAACTACCACAATTCATGCAAGGGCTGCTGAGTATCCACACTTACTGCTTCGGAATCATGGTTGAGGAGGGCCACTGTGAAACTTGCATGTAAGCCATAATCCCTCTCCGACCTCCCACTGAATTCCAGACACATCTTGTCCACAGCCACTGACACCTGCCTGCCATGCTGACCTTGAACTGTTCTTAATCCAAGCACGAGCCTTCTCTTCTAAGTCCACCTGGTTTTTTGTTTCTTCTTTTTAGTTTTAGCCTGACTCATCACTGACAGAAATCTAACTGTTCCTTAAAATTAACCCTTAGTCCTGGAAAACCTTTTCTCTATCCTTCAGCTATCTCACACATAGACACTGCTGGAAAACCATCTTAAAACCTACCATCTTCAGGTAGCCTTTCCCAGAAACATTTAGTTTACCAAACTATATCGTCACAACAATTTGCTGACTTCATGCTAATCTGTCCTTTTGTAATTCTTGATAAAAATTGCATACATTTCTTAAGCAGTGTTTCTCTCTGGCTAGGTTCTTACATTCACATAGTAACAAAGAAAAGATTTAGGGCTTTGAAATCAAAAGCCACAGATTCTACCAGCAAAGTGTGGCCTAGGACAAAATATCTACCTTGCTACGACTCAGCTCCTATTCTGTAAAAGAGGACATTATTAACGTAATATTGAAAATTTGTTATTTAAGTTTTGTGAGCAAGAGGTCATTTACGTGAAACACCTTACATACCAGAAAATGTCACCTTTAGATTCAATACTATCACCTTATTATATATCATTCATCATACTTTAAAGTTATCATTAACGAGTGATTTTACTTTGAATCCCATGCATTTTTAAATACAAAGGAAAAGATCCTCCTACATAGGATTTAAAAACTAGAAGAGACATCGTAAAGAAATTTCAAAGAACAAAGCAAGGGAAAAATCCGTCTCTCTGTGTCATCTTTCTGAAAACACGGTGCTCAACTTTGAAGTGACATTTCTGGATCTGTCGTGGATCAGCTGCTTTCAGCACATTTTTCTGGAAGAACGATCACAACCAGAATGAACATCCACACGTGCCAACGCCAAAGGAAAAGACAGGAGCAGATGCATGGAGCCAGGGACACCAGGAACCAGCCCGGACACTCTCTCCTAAAGGGTCTTGTCTCACAGAGGCACATGTTTTTTTTCTGGTTCATTCTCTCAGGTACTTCTTTTCATCTGGGCAGTGATTCAACCAGGTGCTTAGCCTTAAAGGTGCAGGCCCCACCTCTCAAATCAGGCTTGTTGAGAAGCAAACTAAAACCCAGCAGAGGTCACTGTGGAGTAAGAAAATTCACAAAGAACAAGGCAGGGAGGAAGTCAGAGGCTCCCACTGAGGATGGCAGAGCAATTTACTGCTTCAATTTTTGGAGATCAGGAAAACAGATGGGGGAGGGACATGAGCAGTACAAATTCACACTGTGCCTTCACACCCTTTTGTTCCCACTGTTACAATTAGAAAGACTGCATCACTGGCCAGGTGCAGTGGCCCACTCCTGTAATCCCAGCAGTTTGGGAGGCTGAGGCGGGTGGATCACCTGAGGTCAGAAGTTCAAGACCAGCCTGGCCAACATGGTAAAACCCCATTTCTACTAAAATTAGCTGCGTATGGTGGTACACGCCTATAGTCTTAGCCACAGTGGCTCGCACCTGTAATCCCAGCAGTTTGGGAGGCTGAGGCGGGAGAATTGCTTGAACCTGGGAGGCAGAGGTTGCAGTGAGTTAAGATCCTGCCATTGCACTCCAGCCTGGGTGACAGAGGGAGACTCTGTCTCCAAAAAAAGAAAGACTGCATCTCATGGGGCCAAATGAAATGAGTGCTTGATGTGCTATTAGTTCACTCAGCAGTCACAACCAGCCCTCTCAGGAAGACAATGTCATGATTCTTATTGAACACGCAAGAAAAATATGGCTCAGAAAACTTTAGAAACTTGCCCAAGTTTACACAATTAGTGCCTATGGTACTCCAGGGATTTGAAGCGTGGAAGTCTGGCTTGAGCTGGCTTACACTACCAGTCTACTACACAGAATGCCCACCTGGCAGTTAACTCCCTTTATAATGGGTGCAACCTAAATTTCCTGATTACTTTCCATTATTCTACGCTACACACCATGTTCACGTTGAACAGAATGGCTCAGATAACATTCCCCAAAAGGGAGTGGTGCGCTCCTGCTCCTTACCGCTGCTGCTTTCCGTCTCCTCTCTCTGCTATAGCATCCTTACAGCGTTAGTGCTGAAGCCACATACACCCTCCATCCTGGTTTAAAATGCCCATCTTGGGAAGTCTCTCCTGTCTCTGCTCTCTCTGCCCTCAAGTCATCTCACTAAGATGAGTTTACTCTCCTATGTCCATGATACAGCATTTGGCAAAGCCCAGCTCACATGGAGGTCACTTCTAGGTCCCCCACCAGGATAAGATGAATGCCAGCAAAGGCTTTTTCTTCTGCTTCCTCAGTCTCCCATCCATTAACACAGTGCATCCTGCACCCGGGACACATTTAACACCTGAGTGCTGAGCTGAATACAACTCGAAATTCACAGTCGGACACAGGCATGAAAGGTAAACACTGTCCGGTGTCAGTATCCCACTCAACGCTGCTGACATAGCGTCAAGTTCTTAATGCTCTCTGAAAGCTTCGAGAAGAGAAATTAAGAGGTTATTGAAGGAGAACAAGTTCTTGACAAGATAAAAGTTTACAGATAGATGGAAGGATGGAAGGACGGAAGAAATAATCCTATAAAATCTATTAAACAAGGTGCTATGCTACAGTTGCTCCGAGCAGTGGTTTTCTGAGTCCACACTGTTGACCTAAGATCCAGTGAACCATAGAAGAGAAGATGCCTATCAAAGCTAAGGCCACCAAAGAGTGAGACCCTCTCAAGAGACCCCTCAATGAAAATTTCAATGTAATTTTTGGTGTGCGTTAGATACACACACACACCTCACAAATGTATACACTTCAAGAAAAGCAAAACCTGGTTATTCAAAGAAAGCACCAAGAATTTAAAATTAAGGCCAGGCGTGGTGGCTCATGTCTGTAATCCCAACGCTTTGGGAGGCTGAGGCAGGCCTCAGATCACCTGAAGTCGGGAGTTTGAGACCAGCCTGACCAACATGGAGAAACCCTGTCTCTACTAAAAATACAAAATTAACTGGGTGTGGTGGTGCATGCCTGTAATCCCAGCTACTCGGGAGGCTGAGGCAGGAGAACTACTTGAGCCCAGAGACGGAGGTTGCAGTGAGCCAAGATCACACCATTTCACTCCATCCTGGGCAAGCAGAGCAACTCCATCTCAAAGAAAAAAGAAAAGAATTTAAAATTAATTCATTAGAACTAGAAAAAGAAAAAGCTACTTGGTGCTTACAGATGTCTTAGGTTGTTATAAGCTTTGCCCATCTGGAAGGAAAGTTGGATTAATTCTCTGAAGGAGGGTCAGTGCTATTCAAGTTGAAAATGTACATGTTTTCGTTTCACAAAGCCAGATAAAATACTCTCCAACATTCTTTTCATAAAAGAAATCGAGAATCCTGAAAATACGCATTAAAAATTGAGCCATTTGTGAAACTCTTCTTCCAGGTTACCTGTTTCAAAGATGCTACTATGGTAAATGAATCTTTTTAACCACCCAGAATTCCACGGCTGGCTACCTCTGTCAAGGCGGTTCCACACCTACCCTGCCTCCTACTCGACTTCCTCCCCTCAAAGAAAAAGTACTTATATTTCCAACTAGTCTCTTCAAGACTTCCTGGTCCTCAGAATACAAATGAAGACAGAAAAAATACAGTAATAGAAAGCCAATCCGGGTCAAATCACAGTCTTATTGGCGGCTATCTCGCGCTTGTGCACTTCTGTTCCTTCACCTTCGAAAGGGCTAAAAACACCAGCCTCGTGGGGGAGGCTAGAAGACTAATGAGAGGAATCGCATTTGAAAGACATAAATTGTAAAGCTTTTTTTGAAGTTGAGCCTGGATCGTGGCATTATACTGTACTGAGCTTAACTACTGTATTTCAGTAATGCCCACTGCAGAGAAACTGCCTGAGAATCACCCCTTGTTCCAAAGCCCTGGGGCCCGGTAGTGGCCACCGCTGCTCCGATCACCTTGCAGTCAGCTCCAACTGGCCACCATGACACGGGGACGTCACTGAACTGCAGCCACAGCCACTCAGACTGACTAGTTCATGTCTGCAAATCACTTTAGCTCTCCTTGTAGGCCCTTCCACAGAAGTACTTACTGTTATTACATCGATGGTCCTGAAACCACATGTGAAATTACTTATGCTCAGTGTGCAGCAAGGAGACAAAATGGAAACTCCATGTGTTCTCACAGCAGATGCTTTTGGATCCAATGGCTCGTAATTACTACTTGGATCACAGAAGGGAAGTGAGTCGCAA